AGGCGTCCTGCCGTTCAAACCGGAATTTCTAACGCAAGGTTTCACAAACATCCCGCTAGAGAAGCGGTGCTGTCTGGGCTCAGCCAGAGCTTTTTATTCAAAGCAACCTTGCCGTGGTATTAAAAAAAATAAACAAAACCCAAAAGCGGAGCATCAAGTACTGTTAGAGACAGAGGCGGAGTCGTAGCGGGAACGGAGCAAGAGAAGACGTCAAACCAGAACCAAAGCCGGAGGCTCTGGGAACGAGGGGACACCCGCGAAGGACGTCACCACGTGCGAGCCAGCAAAGGAAGGCTACGTCAAACCGGCAGCCGCATCGCTAGAGGGAAGCGGCGGATTGCCAACTTCCACCGGTGCCGCAGCAGGAACAGCTTGTGCAAAGGAAAACAATGTTTGGTGAGAAACGGCGAGCGCTCCGACACACGCAGCGCACAGAGCTGCGAACAAAGCCGCAGTGCTATGCAGATGAGGAAAGAAACAAAGGATGAAAGACAAGAAAGAGCTCGCGGACGACAGAAATAGACTCTGGGCCCAAAACACATGGATGGAGAAGAGGTTCTTGGGTCAGCCAGCCAGACCGGTCCAATTTCTCACACATGCCCGACCTTGGGAGGAACCGGCAGGAAAAAAGGCAGAGACTCCCTCCCGCAGGCACGCCCTGGCACTTTCAATCCGAGCCCCGGGAAACTCTGGCCTTCCCTACCTCCAGACCCTTTCAAGAGACACCCCGAGATTCCCGCCTGTAAATCCTTTCTCAGAGGCGCATGGAACACGTTCCGGTCTTGGGAAACGGCACACGACGGCCGTATCGGTAAGCCAGGATTTGCCCTTCTGAAGAATGCGATGTGTTGATTTATGCATGCCGTCAAGAGAACGTCTGCTTTTTTGGTTGGTCGCATCCTGCGTAAGGCGAGGCGATGGGCCCCACCTCGGGAGGTATCACAACAGGCGAGCAGAGCTAGTGAATCCAGCTGGGCCTAGGCGATCGCTCTTTGGCGAGACGTTTCCTCCCCTTTGCCCCATCTCCCAAACTCCAGGAGAGCAGGAGCTGCCATTCAAACGGGCGTGCTGACAGGGCACGAGCATTTCTCCAAAGAACGTTCTTACACTATCCCAACGCAGCCTCTGGGAACATTTGCAACACGTGCACGTCAGATCGGAAAACCGTTCGTCTAGAAGGCCGGTCTCCTCCCACGCGAGGAGTCAATGTCCCACCCTCGCGTGCCTCTCCCTCCGCAAACAGCCGCTGCGGAAACGGCCACCCTTTGAACGTGGCGGATCGGGTTTGCTAGAAAAAAAGGAAATAGCGGATGCAATCAAGAAAGGCTCCATCTACTACAGGAAACCCTTTCATCAGTGAAAATATGTAAACTCTTGCCTCCTTCTGCCACGTGGCTTCAGGCTCCACATCAGATCGCCCTTTCACTAGCATCACCACATTCCTTGCAGTGCATACCCAGCGTGGTGCCAGTCCTCGGCGCGAGGACTCCTGGAGCACAGGTGCTCTCCCGGGCTGGAAGAGGGCCCGGTGCCCTGCTGGCGACGCCCCCAACCGCATCCCCAGGGAAAGGGTTCTGCTCGTACGACGGCCGGTGGGCCCCTTCCCCGTTCAAGAACACGGATGGCAGAAGGAGGGCTGCCATCGCAGGGTGGCGGCGCTGATGGCACCGACTGGATGTTCTTCCAAGGGCCCAGGCTTCTACAAAAAACTCGCCCAGTGGTTAAAACTTTCTTCTTCTCAGAGACTCCTTCCTTCATCAGCATAGCGTAGAAAGCGGGCATCCCTCACACCACCCGAGCCAGAGACTGTTCCGACGGCAGAGCTGGGTGGAGAACCGCAGCTCGTCCTCCCGACAGCTCACAGCCCAGGAACGCATCGCCCTGCCTCTCAGTTGGGTTACGGCCTCTGCACCGAGCAGAGAGCATTTAGATGGCCAGCGACCGCGTCGTTCTCTCTCACTAGAAGAGCCGAGCGGGGCTACATCCCACGTTTCTCAGCAACGCAGCTAACCCGGTACTTTCTTGATCTTTAACTCTGAGGGTCGCCACTTGAGAGGGCCCGCCCCCTCCCCCCCCCTTTCCAGGATGCACCCGGCAATGCCAGACAGCTACGCAGGCAGAGTCGCTTCCGCAGCTCCCGGGACCCCCACGGGGATGAGCGTGCCGCCTGGATTTTCTGGGAGAGCACAGTGGGGGAACGACAGTCGGAGAAGGCTAAGCCGAGGCAGACGAGCAGCCTAAGCCCCGGGTTCGCCGCCTCCGCTCCCTGAATGGCGTGAAGCGCTGGGGCGTCTTCCCTCAGCCAAGGTTGGAAGGAACCGGACTGCAGGTCACAGATACCACGGAGCGGGAAGACAAGAGACTAGAAAAGGATCTCTGCGTGATCTTTCCGACGGGCTTCTCCCTCCTTCAGTTCTCACCTGCCGTTGCGCTGTCGCTAGCTTTGGGTTTGGATTTAGACTTGAAGGAGAAGCGCTTGATGAGGCGGCGGGAAAAGCTGCTGGCTTTCTTCCTGGCGGCGGAGTCGGCGGTGACATTGGACAAGTCATCGTGCGACTGGCTCAGGCCCGCTTCCTTCTGCTTGCTTCTCCTCCGGAAGATGAGCTTGGTACCACTCCGAAGAAAGCTAACTGCAGAGACAGAAAGGAAGGAGATGGAAACCACGATGGCATCCCACCCTGACAAACCTCAGGGGGCAATAATGCACCCGGGCCACTCTCGGACGAGCAGCAAAGACCACTTCCACCCGGAGCAGCGGAAGCGCACGGCGGGGCGGCGAATCCCAGGTCCCAACCGCAAAGCAAAGTCTACATTCGGGACAGACAATGGGACTGACGAGCTGCTTCGCTAAGTGCGCCATCGCGCATCCCCTCTTTTACGCAACAACGTTCTTCCTTCGACGGGAGCGTGCGGAATCATAATAGAAAGCTAAGACTTGTACAAACAGAAAACAAGCGAGAACGTCTGCACATGGAGATGCCGGGAGGAACACGCAATGAGTCCTCTCGGACTCGCCTGTCTCAAGGGCGCCCGGATTAGCCGGTCGTCGAGCCCCCAGAACAACTGCCCGTGGTTTCACCAGATGCCCAAATCTGGAGACAAATAACTGCAACGGCTCCGGACGACTCGTGCAGGCCGGACGGAGATGCCAATCACCGCGAGCCCTAAACGGGTGCAAAAATGCATATCCAAGACCTGCACGTCGTGCGAAGCATAGCATTTCCTACAGAGGGGGCTCGCTTTCGCTCACCGGGGAGCGAGAAATGGGTTCTCAGGAAGGGGCAAGTTGCGGGGGATTCCCGCCTAAGAGAGCACAGAAACCGAAAAGGCCACAGGAACCGGACACTGGCAAATAGAGGAGTTTGGAACCACTCCAGCAGGAAGCATGGGAGAGAGGCGGGGCTC